AGACACCTAGTCATATGGGCATGAAGAGATCTTCTTTTCAAGGAAACAAACATACATCATTTTTTTTTTAAGTGGCACCCATCTTTTAATGGCCATGCAGCCATGAACATTAAAAGTAACTTAATTTGTCTAGCAAAGTTTTATTCAGGCTTTGGTTCCCAGCTCGCGGCCAGTTAATTAATCGTTTCCAGTGCGTAACTGGAATCAGGACTAATATACAGATTTAGCCAAGCCTAAACGCGGAGCTCCTGAGCCGGGTTGTTCAAAGTCTGATCAAGCTAACCCATGATAAGTGAGAATCTTGATTTTAGTTTTTCGTAAAGTTACTGACAATCAACTTTCATGTCAGATCTGAGTTGTTTTGAGTAGTATAGCTCGGGTGCAGTCAAGGTTGTTTGCTTCTTCTCCTTCTTGTTGTTCCAGACTCTCAAAAGTTCTGAGCGAAATTTCGCGCGGTGCATTATTGAAATAGTCCGAGGAGTTTGCAAAAATTTTGATGTAAGGCAACCCGTCGGTTCCTTGCCTGTTTATCGGAGAAGACACCAATACGAGCGGACTCCGACCATCTCTCCACCGCTGACCAACCTCTGGTCAAATTGCGTATCAGATATGTCGCAGATACAAAGTGACTGACCTTGGCTATCATAACCTTGGTCGATATAAGTCACAAATTCCTAATTTAAATTACGATAACATTTGAAGAAAATTTTATATCAATGATAAGTTTATATGCTGGATAGTACATATATGATTAAAATTTTGCTCAGTCAATGCCCGACAAGGCCTTTGATTCAAATGTACGTAACACAGTAACACGATTGTCCTTTTTATTAATTTTTTGTTTGTTTGTGGTTCAGAATGTGGAGCTGTTGGTGTAGAGGACAGTAACAAAATACCAGATGCAAGAATGACGGCAAGCACATACTACAATAGTGATTTTTATCCATACTATGGCCGGCTGAATGGGATCAGGGGAGACGGAGCGTGGTGTGCAAAGACAACAACAGACAGAACAGACTATCTTCAAGTTGATATGATTACAGTACACTCTGTTTGTGCAGTGGCGACACAAGGAGAAATAGCATTCTCTGAATGGACCACCAGCTACAAATTGCATCTCTCTGCGGATGGAGTAACATGGAACAGCTACAAGGAAAACAATGTTGAAAAGGTGACTGAGATACATTGTACTCTTTTATTTTATGGCTGTTTCTCACAAGGACTGGGAACTACCGAATTCACGAATTTGATTGGCTGAAATCGATATTGAAAGGCAAAAATATTGACTATTTTCTTTTAACATTATTTATTTATGGAAGTGCCAAATAGCCTGATGAGAAAAGAAGAGTTAAGTGGACGAGCAGACTTTGGCGGAATTAAGTTCAGCTCATCGCCGTTCGCAAGCAAAATGTGGGCTAGTGCAAACCAGTTACATTAAACGAACTAAATTGTTCTTGTTTGCCATATAATAAACATCTTATTAACCGAGCTTAGTCGGTCTGTATGGGAGAATCTTGACCTCGGTTGTGTGTACAGACCTCACTGCGTTCAGTCTGTACCCGCGACCTCGGTCAAGATTCTCCCATACAGACGTCCTGCTTGGTTAATAAGAGCTAAGTCTAGGGGTGGCGGTCTATAGAAAAATCATAAAGTTATCTCAGTAAACAGCAGAGTTGCGTCGTGCTTAAGTTACACAAGCCTAGCGGTCCTGGCATATGAAGATTGTATGTATCGCGTTATATAACTGTAAAATGTATGGAGAACTAGAAATTCGTGTTAAGTTTCGAAGAGAAAACAAATTATAAAAATATATACTTACAGAATTTTTGTAAAAAAAAAAGGGGAAACTAAAACTCTACCATCTTAGTTCTAGCCTCTCAACAACAACAACAGCAACAACAACAACAAACCAACAAGAACCAAAACAAAATTCGGCGAGTGTTATCACTCGAAGCGAGCTGGGCCGCGCCAGTTAGCTCAGCTATCGCTAGCTATCGCTAGCTCAGCTCGGAGGCTTCCTTTCTTTTTTCAGCCCTCTAACTCATTCAAGGAAATCAAGATCCTGTTCACAGGTTATGTTAGCATATTTACGGCCTTTATTTCTGTTCCAGGACCCCAATGAAAATTTAGTTTCAGTAGACATAAGTTAATAAGTGACAATGCAAGCCGTTCTGCTATTTGTTTTTCATTTCAGGTGTTCGCAGGAAACACAGATGAAAACAGCATTGTGAAGCATTCACTCAGTCGGAACGTCAAAGCAAGATTCGTTAAATTTTATCCCGTAACGCATAACGCATGGCCTTGTTTGAGAGTTGAAATATTTGTGTTAAAGTAGCCACGGGAAATTTGATTTCATAACCAGATTAAAGCTTCTCTCCAGTGATATCGTGGCTAATTGTTTACTTTATTAGTATATTATTATTTTTATCATTATCATTATCATTACCATTACTATTATCATTATCATTATCGTTATCATGTTTATTATTATTATTATTATTATTATTAGTATTAGTATTTTTTGTCAGTTATTGTTGTTGTTCTTTTTATTATTTCGTCACAAATGCATTTGGATTTAAGGTTACTGTACATCTTCAAGGGCTGGTTTTTTGTTCATGCCAACTTCAAGACTTTAAATTCGTAAAATCCCAGCGAGTTATCCACAAAAACGTGATGTTTTCAAACAAGTCAACGATCCGCAAACTATGATAAGCCAATGCGTCAACCACTGAGTTGAGCAGTAACAATTTTCACGGCCATCCCATCCACAGACTCGTATTTTGTTTCTATTGTTTATCTTTTAGGTCTTGCAATTTCTCGCACAGAAATCTTCGCTTTTGCTGATTACGTTCGTCTTTTAAGCGATAGACTTAAACTATCAACATTACCAGATAGTCTTTTGACCAAAATCTTTAAACAAAAGAGCATAACTTAGGAATAACCAACTGAACATTTATAGCAGGTTTGTGTCATAGGTGTTTGAAAGATGGGACACCGGCGAAAGACAGTTTGCTTTTAACGATGTATAATGAGTAGTTTTACTAGAAAACTAATAAACGTACTAAGAAGGAAGCTAGCTTGCTGAACTCTTTCTGACTAGTCAGCGTTTAGTCCCGCCTTACAAGTGAGATGTGATATCCTAAATTACACTTGCTAACGAAAAAATGTTCTTCATATTGAGATGTTTTTGAGTCAATTTACTTAGGAAGAATAGTCAACAACTTAGATCGAATTATTTCGTGATCATTTCATAACTTCGTTCTTGTACATGTTTTTTGATGTTTGGTTTGAATATATGTGAATGCAACTCGTAGTGATGTAGTCCGTGCTCACTAACTAAATGATACAAAAAAAAAAAAGAAAAAAAAAAAATTCCAGATGGGTAAAACTGAACCTCAAGAATCCTACAACATGTCATGTAATTATATTTAAGTGGATGTTTTGACTATTTTATGACTTGGCTTGACAAAATTATGGGTGGCTAATAATTNAAAAAAAAAAAAAAAAAAAAGGAAGACTTTAGTAAATAGACTTCTACTAATAATACGTTACTTAATCAATATTGTCAATATTATTACGTTCGTTAGTTACAGTGCTGCAGTGCTCCGTACCTTTGCTACTTGATTATGTTTTGGATTTTAAGCCAAAAAAATTAAAATTAAAATTTCGACATTTTTTATTAACTGTCTGTTGGCAGAAAATGTAAGAACAGTGAGGGCGGAATTTTAAGTTCCACGCTCCCTTGCCCCATCTCTGTCACTGAGCTCTTCCCTATCGACTTGCCGGCTGAAACATAAGACATCAATAAATTGTCAAAAAAATCCAAAATCGTCGCCTGCCAAAGGCGCATGCGCAGCAGTGTAACTGAATAGCCTTGTGTTTTTTCTTAATTTAGGCCTAGTGGTCCCAATCTTGGTTAATGTGCTCTTCGTACAGCTATAAAATACAAGGGTGTAAAAGTTCTTTTAAACATTTTAAATGTAGTTCGTGCAAAATACAGGCTTAGCTCTTCCTCCACTACGTTGAAAAAGACTTCAAAATACCGGCTAATAAAGGGCTTAGCCCGTTTTATCTGTTTACACCAACGATTTGACACTTTGAAGAACTTTTTCAATCTTACATTTGCTTTTTCCTCATAATGTCGCGCATCATACGATATCTTTGCTTATTTCTATTGCTTTTGTTATCGATACCAGAAGGAGAAATTATATTCTGATCATTCTTAGGACTTGGCGTTCTATTACTGTTAGGTTTTTCGATTTTCGAATTTCGAGTGACAAAATAGAATATTAAACATCAAAACTGTATGTTTTGTAGATTTAATTCAGTTTGTCTGCGCAAAACATGGTTAATTTGGTTTATATTTGATCTACGTTTATTTTACATCATAGATACTGTACTGGAATCTCACCAGTGAATTATTATAAATACCAGGTTCTGTCGCATCTTTAACTGTATAGTAGTTTTTCACATCGTATTCTTATAAAGTTTGTATACATTTAATATTGTAGAGGCTCTTTTTTTCAATGTACAGATAATCATCTGTAAGTCGTAATAAAGATGTTTTCAACTTCGCTTTGTAAAGGTGATGTTCACGTACTTATAAGAGCTGAAAGACGTTTTTGAATACATAGCTCTGTTGCACGATAACGTTAGTTCACAGAGCCAGTAACTAAAACTAACCAATCAGAGTTCTCAACTGCCTCTATTTTCCCAGTATTGAATAAGGCACCGTAAGGTTTACTTTTCTGAACGAATTAACTTACGCATAAAATATTGACTTTCTTTTTCTTCCACAACTTTCCTTTGCTTCTTAAAAAATAAACATCGAGGCTCTACATCTGAAGAGTTCGTGATTGCGGAATTTTCTGAAAATATTTCCAGTCGTGTTATACATTAGTCTCCTTCGCAGTTACTCGGACCGAAGTCACGCAACCAGTCTCTAACCCAGTGAGGAACGTTGAAAGTGATACCAAGGATCTTTAAGAATTTCCTGTTTATTCTGATACTCAAAGGACGGGTCAAGCTATAATCGGTGCAAAATTACAAACGTGTCTTTGCGGGTCATTTTTGAGCACGTTCGATCGGTTTCGTCCATTCTGTTTCCAAAAATGTCTTCGAAAAACAATGGTTTATCAGTGAGCCCTGGAACAGTGTTGTCTGTGGTTTGTTTGCTTCTATACTCCGCTGGATTCATTAGAATCGAGCTGAAGTTTAATGATCACGATCAAAGGTTGATAGCTGTCGAGGAAGTCATTTCTCAGATGAAACATGGAGTGGCGCACACTTGGAATAAAGGTAAGGCATTGGTGTGTCGGGTAATTGTTTCAACTAAAACCTCTTCCTCTTCAGCAGTTCACTTATTGACCGTATCTGTATATTGTACTAAAAGAGCTTTCGTGAGCAGATTAATTATTCAATTCAATTTTAGACTTTAATTCTTCCGGTGAAGAAATAGTAACCAAATATTTAAAATATCTCTTAGTTTCTTTCAAATAACCGTTCATATTATGATTGAAAACGAAAAGCAAAAGACGTACTCTAGCACTTCCAGTTGATCTCAGGGTCTCGAGGAAGGATTCTTTTATTTTAAGCACTTTATTGAGTTGATTTTGCGGTATAAATGAAGAAAGATGGTGCATTTTAGCTGATAAATTTTAAGTAATGTTTTCCCATGCAATCGCACGTTTGACCTTATGCAGAGATCCTTTAGTACAGACGGCTTCAAGCTGGTCTTTCAATATTATGTCACAAAACCTCTTTCATTTATCAGTTATGCAGATACTCCGATCTGAAAACAAAACATTCATATAGGCAAATTAGCTGCCATTTAGGTAGCGTACATTGCACACAGAAACGGCCCTGAAACTTAACAGATCTTTTCTGGTTACGGTGCGACTCTACGCGAGGTACTGAAGTATATCTGTCTTATTACTGTTTAGAAACTTCACAGCTTAATTCTGGGAAGAAAGAAACAAATAGTGAGATAAAGCTCCACAGAATCACACGTAGCATTGCCAACAATCCAACCTTTAATAATTCCGCCAACATGAAGCAAGCTTTGGAAGACGTTGTCACCTCGAGTTTCAAAAAGATCTGTCAGAAGAGTGGAGACCTTAAAGTTTGCCCGCGAGGACTCCCGGGACCTCCGGGAAGGAGAGGAAGAAAAGGTTCCCAAGGAATTATGGGACCACAGGGTCCAGGTGGAAAGCAAGGAGTTATGGGACCCCCTGGTCGAAGTGGAAAACAAGGAATTAATGGACCACCGGGCATAAGAGGAGAAAAGGGAATTAAAGGAGATATCGGGCGACCGGGCATCCCAGGGATTAAAGGTGAGCCCGGAGAATCTATTTCTGTACCTAAAGTGACAATTTTCCCTGCTTCACAACTGACTGTCAACGAAAGCAACACTGCTGCTCTGTTTTGCTCTGCTACTGGAAATCCCGCTCCCCAGTTATCTTGGGTTAGGGTTGATGGATCGTTACCTAGCAACAAGATCAAACTGACCTCGGACGGCCTGATGCAGATTGATGACGTTCGCCTGGAGGATGCTGGGAAATACAAATGCATGGCGAGCAATATTCTGGGACAGGACGAAAACGCTGCGAACCTTGTTGTTCAGAGTAAGTTGAAATTGTAATACTTTATTTTGTCTCACCTACACAACCAAAGCCAAATAACTTGATTTACGGAGGGTCTAGCCAGAATCAACCTGAATATGCAGCGTATGTATTAAAAACAATCATTCTACAACACTTTTGAACAATTAATTACATATTCTGTGGCTGAAAATGTGGGAAAATTTACTATAAATCTGCTGTTATTGGTCAGTCTTGAGGTACATCCCCAAGTAAGTACGTGGACTTACCGCCACGTACAGCTAAGACTCTAATATCACAGAGTCACTTGTGACAAAGAAACCTCAAGTAAACATATGGGCTAATGTCACTGCGTTAAGCTGACGGGTTCATGTTTACTTTTATCGTACTCAGGCTTGGTGCCAGTCAGGCGACAAAATATCGATTGATCTGGATCTTCTTTGCAATCTCATTTGTGCGCAATAACAGTTGTTTTGTATCTCTAGTAATTTAATAAACTGAGGTAGATCGTTTTATTCCGTTCCATTTTCCATTTTTTTTTTTAACAGAATGACAGAAATTGAGTTTTTTCACGCAACTTAGGTTCGTATTTCTGTATCAATATTCCATCCATTGGCATTCCAGCTCTGAGTATTCTGTGCATTCTCTAAGATAAATGCATTTGCGAACTTCGTGCAAAACAGTCTTCAGAAAGAGGGGCGTGGGTTTGACAAAACAAAGAAATACTTTAGACGTCTAAGCAGTGATTACGAGATTGCAAGTCTACCGCATTTCATGTTTTCTTATGTCGGTATTTAGACGTTTAAGAATGTTTTTGCTTGTTTGTTTGTCTTTTTGTTTTGTGTTCTTGCGATATTTAGTAGTTACATCACTCTAGAGTACTCCTAGGGTACCATTTTCGTGTCAATTGAATGTTAATGATAGGATTAAGATTGATTGAGTTTGAAGATGGTTTTTGTGAGTGAAGTTTCATTTGGAACACAAAAAGCTGTACTAATGTATGGTGACATTGAACGTGTCCCCATTGCCTGTGCTGTTACACAAGATATTTATTTATTTATTTATTTATTCATATTATTTCCTTCCAGGTAAGCCCAAAGTTTCTCTCTCGTTTGGAACATCCTACGTCGAAAGGAACAAGAACATCACTTTACCAACTTGTCACGTGACTGGCTATCCTCCAGCGGTGATCACGTGGTCTAAAGTGCACGGTGAACTGGTACAAGCAAGAGCTCTTTCGAAAGATGGACAGCTGTCAATAACAAATGCTCAAAAGAAAGACTCTGGCTTGTACAAATGTAAAGCAACGAATATCTTAGGTTACCACTCGGCTGTAACACATCTAAGTGTTGTGGAGCTGCCGCAGTTTACAGTCAGGCCGCCTGGGCAACTTAAAATGTCTACGAACCGCAATATAAGAGTCCCTTGCCAGGCCACTGGGGACCCCCTTCCGACAGTCACTTGGGTGAAAGAGAACGGCGAGCTACCGTTAGGGAGATCAAAAGTTAGTGTTGATGGAACACTTCAAGTTTGGAACACTAAAGAAGAGGACTCGGGGAGATATACTTGTGTGGCGGCATCGGCTGAAGTCTTTAGAGCGTTTTCTGTTATGAAACTGACAGTGACAGGTGAGATTTGTACTTATCATGATTTAAGTCACTCTTAGTACCATTCTAATTCTTCACCATTGTAATTCTTCACCTTGAGTCTATCTTGAGTCTATGTATAGAGAATTTTAAAGACGCAACGGCCCTAAAAACTACGAAGGTTTACACTGTTTGAGCACAGAAGTTATGGAATACTATTATAATATAATATAATATAAGCCGAGTAATTTGAGAGATTTGATTGATTGATAATATCACTATTTCCACGTAATAGTGGTATAAAAAAAGAAATATACAAATAAATATACAACTGAACAGTTAAAAAATAGTTTAAAGACTTAAATTCGGAGGCTTCGCGATATTTGGTGGCACACTGACATGAAACAGTTCGAGATCTCTCTTTTCCATAGAAATTAGAGAAGACTAATTGTAAAAGGAATATTTCGTCGATGTGATGATGGGAGGTAATGAACTTTAAAATTTCAACTGCAAAATAAACGTGTCAGCTTCGTTATCCTCCTGGTAGAGCAACCAAGATAATGAAATTCACCACGCTCAGCAGGAAAATTTCAGCCTGAAACTTGTTGCTAATCTGACATAAAGTTGGCCCTTCATTCCCTTAGTCCTGATTGTCTCAGAGCTGTTGCTCAAAAGTACTAACAACAAAAAAGTTATTGAATCCAAGGCCGAAATGGCGGGGAAACATGCTGCAGTTTTCCCGTCATGATAAAGTTATGCGCATGTTCGTTACAGTTCTCAAATGACTGACACATTTCTTTGCTGGGGCGATCACCGAAACCAGAGAAGCGGCGAGATCAAAGGTAGCTGCCAGCTTCCCCTGGAAGTTACCCGTCAGTTTTATTTACTATCGAACTGTCTACTGTCTAAACTCTCTAAGCACAGAAGTCGTCAAATTGTACATGAAGCAAAATTATGATCGTAGAAAATACAAGTGAGCCCTAGTGGTTACTTTATGGGGGTCCAAGCAAGAGATATTTCGAGGCCTTCGATTCTAAAATATCTCTACCTAGATAATTGAGATGGGGATGATTCCAACAAGAGGGTTATTCCGTTTTCTTAACCTTTATTGTAATATAGAAAACTCCTATGAAATGAATCTAGAAAGCTTGCTATCATTTTTGTCAATAAAGGACTGAGCTCCGTTATCATTAGCTTGTGAACAGACTTCGGCTGGAAGGTTCTGACCGCGGCTTGAAGGGTCAAGAATAAAGGAACCGCTATCGCAGTTTGCTTGCTTTTTTGTATTTTTTGCTTGATGGTTTTTTTTGTGTGTGTGTGTCTTTCAGAATGTGGACCTGTTGGTGTAGAGGACAGGAACACAATACCAGATGCCAGGATGACGGCAAGCACATACTACAGTAATTTATATTATCCATACTATGGCCGGCTGAATGAGGACAGGGGAAATGGTGCGTGGTGTACAAAGAAAAGAACAGACAGAACAGACTATCTTCAAGTTGATACGGGTGCAGTACACTCTGTTTGTGCAGTGGCAACTCAAAGCGCCCGTATAGAAGATATATGGATCACTAGCTACAAAGTGCATTTTTCTACAGATGGAGTAACATGGAACAGCTACAAGGACAACAATGTTGAAAAGGTGACTAAGATCATATACTTTTGTCTAGGAGTGGCGGTCTATAGAAAAATCATAAAGTAATCTCAGTAATCAGGACAATTGCGACATATTAAAGCCACAAGAGCCCTGTAGTTCTCTTATAAAATGGCTGTATATACCGAATCCATTTATTGTGGGTATCTGCATATAATAGATATAGAACGTTCGGAGAACTAGAAATTCGTGTTACAGGCAGCCGCTGTGTGTCTACGTATTAAGCCCCGGCCAAACGATGGCAACGTTTCAACGCAACATATCGCAACATTGTTGGGAGCAGGATGTTGCGTACGTTTGGCCACCCTGTTGCGATGTGTTGCGATATGTTGGGTGTTGTTGGCTCAAATTTGAAAATGGTCAAAATTTCCATGCAACATTTGTGAATGTTGCATGACGTTGTAGTCGTTTGACCCGGTTCATGCAACAATGTTGCGCCCGGGCATGCGCACTAGTTCGATTTTCAACACCCAACATGTCGCAACACGTCGCCACAGGGTGGCCAAACGCGTGCAACATATTGCGCCCAACAATGTTGCGATATGTTGCGTTTAAATGTTAGGATCGTTTGGCCGGAGCTTGCAAATGCTGGGCTAACAATATTGGGATATGTTGTGTTGAAATGTGGCGATCGTTTGGCCGTTTGAACAGCAAGCCATAGGCTGTTGGTTTGGAGGGGAAAAGAGATTATAAAACGTAAAATTAACAAGTTATTTAAAAAGCAGAAACTAAAAGTCCTGCCATGTTGGTCCTAGCTTGTAATCAGGCTCCGGTGAGTGCGAAAAAATGGAGAGGGGAATCGAACGCTGAGTGACCACACTTGCCTACAGAGCTCCGCTCGCCGTTTCTTGTTTTCTTGTCCTATAACCCAATTGGGAGAATCAGTCTGGTGAGCGCTAATGGGTCAATTTCGATATATTTTTAAAAATTATACCCAGGCCCCTAACTTTATAAATAGGCAACCTAGAAAAAAAACAATTAAAAAAAAAACAAAAAAACAAAAAAGCAAAAAACAAAAACAAAAACAAAACAAAACAAACAAACAAAAAAACAAAACAAAACAAAACAAAGCAAAAAAGGAAAGAAAAACAAACAACAACAACAACAATAACAAGAAGGTCCGCTATGCGTACTTTTGGTCTTATGATTAATTTTATTTCATTCGGTCGGAGTTTTGTTTTTAAATGTCAATATCTGGGAGTTGATCATGAATTGCTACAAGTGAAAAGGTAGACAAGTCATTGTAAATTTTAATTGGATAAGTATAGCCAAATACTGTTTACTTACTTACATACTTTATCCTCTAAAAATAATTATTTATTTAGCTCTCAATTTAATCTACTTAATCATTCAATTTAGTCCTATTTTGCGCAGCATGTTGTACCTTGTCCCATGTGTGAGAGAGTTTTCACTCGCTGAGCTCGACACTGTTTGCACATGTCAAGTGAACTTGTACATGTAGTGTCAAGGTGTTTTGCTACAGTAATGACTAAGCCTGTTTAAATACATAACAACATCAACAACTGAGTCCCGCAAACTGGCTTGTAACTATATTGGTTTGTGAGAGCTTTTGTGGTGTAGACCGCGCCCCGGATTTCAAGCCTATGAATGTGGGCTCGCAAAAGCGTATTAGCTTCAGTGCAATCCGCACTAGACACAAGCCGAGTCTAGTTATGTTGACTTGCGTGAGCAAACAACTCCCGTATCGCCGAGGAAACTCACTCAGCATCACTTGAATGAAATAACAAAGAAAAAACAAGGCAGTGCAGTTAATTTTCAAAATGAAAGGAAGAAAACTAATAATAGACAGCAAGACGGAGCGATTTTGAAATAGAAAAATGACAAGCCTTAAACAATTACAACTAATTTGCGATGAAAAGCTCTTCAAAACTTTCACAAAACAGGTAAAACGGCTGCCGTTACACTAGTAAAACAACGATACGCCGGAAGCAATGGCCGACGAAACAACTCGAAAACAGTGCCTCGCAATTACTAGTACCCAGTCTACCTGTAGAACTATTTGTTCTCCCGGAGGTCTGTCACTTGTCATCTCGCCCTGAAAGCCACAAGATCGGTCTCTGACTTAGTGGTCTTTCATAAGACTACAAAAATTCTGTTAGTCTAAGGGGAAAGTAAAGGTTGTGTCAGTGTTCTGTTATAACTTGGCTGCGAAGTGTAGTAGTTCGGCGGCATAACTCGAAATTTCAGGCAAAATGTGCACTTTTTGATACAAGCGTGAAATGTGGCACACTGATAGCAGTCACCAATACGAGCATTTTCAGGGTGAGTGCCAAGTTGGAGGTTAACTGGTTTCTGTGGAAACCGCAATTTATTAAAATTCATGAAATTCTCTTTGTATTGAATAAGTTATGTAACCCTTGTAGTGTACTGCAGTGTAGTTTTTCTTCTTTGTAGTTTGTAATTAAGGTAATTGTTGTAAATTCTGTAATGTTTAAACGTATCGATCTGTACAGTCTTGTATTATACCTGTAAAAGAAAAAAAAATAACAATAAGTTTCCCCAACACTTCGCAGATATCTGTTCTGGGAGACTTGTGGCTACTGGGTGTTTATTTTTGAATTTAAGAGGTCACCCTCGGAGAAATGGGAGGTAGCCGCTTAAAAGACTGTTATTGCTTGTGGACATGGAATCACGTCAAGGCAATCATGATAAACGTGTGCTTGGAAAAAAAAAGTTGTAGTTTGAAGACTTGTTAACAATAAGATTTTCCAGTGTCCTTTTGATTTCATATGTATTGCATGTATATTCAGACTATGTCAACTGACTAGCAATTGTGTTTGAAAATAGATATGGACAGTTAAGTTGTCATTTCAGGTCAATGAAATCTTCCAAGGTCCTTTTTATTTCATGTGACATCAAGCAAAAGCTACGAAGTGACTAGGAATTTTGTTTAAAACTAATAAATTGTCCTGGAAAGAAGTAAGGTTTTTGTTTGCTCTGTTTGGTAATGATTCATTGTCTCCCTTGCCCTATTTCAAAAAGATTTCAACAAATCTTCTTTTGCCCAGCCCCCAAAATGGAGGACTCAAGTATGAAATTGACAGCGGTCGTTATGGGAAATTTAAAAGAAATCCCTAAAATGTCCAGAAACTAATATTAATCTCCCTTTGTGAGCCTGGCTTAAATTCATTTTAGCCCCAAGAGGTACCAATTTAATTAAAGTACCTTCTCATATTTTTTCCGGCTTACGGGCCTAAAGGTACTAAGATAAGTCTAAAATTGATAATTTCAGAGTTCGTAATAGCACATTCGATTTCACCTTACCAAACCACAAAGTTTAACCCATAAAAGGTACCCTGTCCCTTTTGTTCAAATACATTTTCTTATCACTCATTACCACTAGTCTACTATAGAAATATCATACAAACTACATTGTGGAGTGCACACTGCATGGTAACCCTAAAACAGTCAATAATAACAGGCATACAAAGTGTATCATCAATATTGTTTTCTTTTTACTGCACTATACAGTACCATTTTATCTGATCTGGTACCATCTTAATGCTGGGCAATCAACAAAAGTAACCACATTGTGTATGCAAATTGATTATGGGTATTCAGCATGTCGACATTTTTTTTGCAGCCATGCCAAGAACTTATTACAACCTCAATACACTTTAACACCATTAACAAGGTGTATGTTGGACTTAGTTGTTGATGTTGTTATGTAACAGGCTTAATCATTACTGCAGCAAGCCATCTTGACACTACATGTACAATTTTACTTGACATGTGTATACAGTGCTGAGCTCAGAGAGTTAAAACTCATATGGGACAAGGCACAACATGCTGGACAAAATAGGGCTAAAATGAAGAAAGGTTATTGTTGTGTTATGTCCCATGGGGACTAAGAGATGAATAAAAAATTATTATTAGAGGATAAAGTAACTAAGTAAACAGTATTCTTCAACTAATTTTCCACTTAAAATTTGTAACGATTTGTCTATGTTGATACCAGAAATCAAAAAAACTCTGTGGTACCTAATTCAGTTATTTCCACACCTTTATCACACCGTTATCTTTCCAGTGTTTGTCTTCTCACTTGTAGCAATTCAACTCTCAGATACTGACATTTAGAAACAACAATCCAACCGAATGGAATCAAACTGAGGATAAGCCCACAAGTACGCGTTGTTGACCTATTTTTCTTTTTCCCTGATGACTTTTCCATTGTTGTGTTGTCGCACGCGGTTAACCGGCGCTGCTAGACAATTCTAGTGATGTTTGCCCAGCGGCATAGATATTAGATTCAAATGGGATAACTCGTAGCAACAGATCGGACACAGGATCGGAGTCGGCAACCATTGTACACGCCTCTCTTAATTCAACCTCGGTGGTCGGTTCCTTCCAAGACATTCTTGCTGCTTGGAAAATACTTCTTGTACGTTTGCTTCTTCTTTGGCCGAGACAGTTTCCTTTTGAATATGCGATCCAGTCTGGTTCTGCTTGGCCCTGTCGAACTGTCGAATTCCAAAAGGTTTATATCAAGTGCCACACTGTCTTTCAAATGTCGGAGCAGTTCCATTCTCTCGTCCAGATCTTCCCAAATCAACCCATATATTCCTTTATATGTTGAAGCTCGCCATTTTCTCTTTCTAATGACGGGGTGTGATGTGCGTTATTGCATCCAATTGCATAGAAACAAATTAGAATAAGATGCCGCTTCTACCATCCGAACCAAGAGAAAGTGTTGCAGAAATGTAGAAGAGGGACAGCAAGAGAAAATCAAAATGCAGATTTACGCAAATTAAGACCTTCATTTATTTAATATTTTTGGCGGTAAAATTGCCTCTACTTGAATGAACAAAAGGGAGAAAAATAACAATTCTAATCATACTTGCATTAATGTAGTGAAAACGTGAGGTAAAAGCGTTAATTAATTCTCGAAAAAGAACATAAACAAGAACTTCGCGTGGTTTATAATGAGTGAAAACTCTAGTTATCGCTAACTAGCTGGAATTAGAACATTGAGCTTGGCACTATAATCAGGAATTGATCAGTATGGGAATGCGCATTATCCTACAAAGTTCGGTGCTTGTATCAAAAATCGCACAATTCAAGAGCTATGCTGCCAGACTATAAGAGAATACAACAAGAGAAAAACGCATTTTGCGTACAAAATTTAGGATCGAAACCAACCAATCAACAAATGGCAAAGTTTCCTGAGAGAGTTAGGTTTTCAATTTTGTGGTGTTCGTATTTTTCAATGCTGTTGGTTTATTCGCCAAAAAGATCGCTTTCCTTTGTTCTCAGATAACGTTCTAATTGGCTAACTCTTTTCCAAGTAGCCCGGTTCGAGTAGTTGCACTGTAAAGGGATTTTTGTTGTAATTAAGCTTACTGATAAGCTCTTCGTATCTTAGAGACAAAGGGCATATGAAGGTATTATTGATAATGATTTAGTACTGGAAACTTGGTAGGAAATTAGGAGAAAAATTATTACTGTTTAATCATAACTGACACGCGAACTAGTCAGAAGACTATAATAGAACTAATTGTTTAACTAACTTCTCGGAAACGCGTGATATAACAAGCTCAAGTGCAACCAGGAAATTTTCCGGCCTTTAATTGTGACCCATGAAACTAATAGATATTTTCCCTCCGAAGATTTCAGTTAAAAGCGCTGATAATGTAAAGCGTTCTGCTATTTCTTCTTCATTTGCAGGTCTTCACAGGTAACACAGACAGAAACAGTATTGTGAAGCATTCACTCAGTCCTGCTGTTAAAGCAAGATTCGTTAGATTTTATCCCGTCACAGATTATGGTCATCCTTGTATGAGAGTTGAAATATTTGTACTAAAGTAGTCTCACGAAATTTGTTTTCATTACCGGCTTAAAAGAAATGAAAGGTAGTGATTGTCGCATTTGGTCACAAATGCTATTATGAGGTAAAGTTACAATTATTTTTCCCCAAAGATTTCGGCTCTAGTTGTAAATTGTTCAGGTTCAACGAAAAAGAACCTTAATGGCACTGCTTGGAACCTCCTGAAACAATAGCTTTAAACTTACGTTATGAAGTGTAAAAAACGTTATGTTATTAATTCACGTAGGGGCCAAACCACCCCCCAAATGTTTCGTCAGTTCTTGAGTATTTCACATTATTTCGCATTACTTAAAGAGTATTGACTCTTTCTACACCAAACCTGGGAGATGAGCAGGAGACCTATTGCCAATTATATTTACGTGAAAAATGTAAGTTAATGTCAAAGATGTGACGTCACAGTGATGACGTCATGTTTTTTTGCCACTTTGAAGTTTTTAATATGCATAGCTTCTACAATGTGTTCNTTCGGCTCTCGGTATGTTTTAATACATTTCGAAACTTTAATAGGAGTTTAAATAAGAGACGGATGTCCCCCGTTCAAAACAATAACAACTGAATGAACGGCAGAGAAATGTTTAGACAAACGAGTGCAAAGCAAACAAACGCCCAAACACAAGCTAGGCAACCGAACAAACAGATGGTCGAAAGTGCAGGCAAACGCTCGCTGCCCAGGTAGCAAAAAGTAGTTTAAGCAGCAACGGCAACAACGCCAAAGACAACGTCGATTAAAAAACGAATTAAGATTCAACCTACAAATCTCGCGAGAATTTAGATTCATTCAGTTTGTCTATACTGTCAGAAAAAAAAACTCAAACAAAATATGTAAGACAGCTTCAAAATTCGAGAAAGAAATTTTAAAAATCGGCCGTCGTATAATTCACGTTCTCTCGAATATGCAGAATGTGACTATTTCACGTTGTTCTTTTGTGACCTTTTGTTAACAACGGCAAAAAAAAAAAATTATTATTATAACGCATGCTTACACAGTCATTGTACTCGTTGCCGTTGCCGTTGAAGGTTGCTTAATTAAACTCCCTAAAACCGAACAAACGGCAAAATGATGAACAGCCAAACGAGCACAAATCAAAGCTCGGCCAAACAAAAGAGCGGCTGAGAGTACAGAAAACATATCTGGTATAAAACGAAACCAAAACATACAAAATGATGTTTTCGCCATTTCGTGTCAGGTAGTTTCGAGAAAGTCGCTTGGCTGTCCACGCATATCGCGAGTAACATCCTCGGAAGAACTGCGCACCATGTCTAAAAATAATTTAAGAGGGATTACCTTGGNAACAGTAACAACTGAATGAACGGCAGAGAAATGTTTAGACAAACGAGTGCAAAGCAAACAAACGCCCAAATACAAGCTAGGCAACCGAACAATCAGATGGTCGAAAGTGCAGGTAAACGCTCGCTGCCCAGGTTGCAAAAAGTAGTTAAAGCAGCAACGGCAATAACGCCAAAGACAGCGTCGATTAAAAAACGAATTAAGATTCAACCTACAAATCTCGCAAGAATTTAGATTCATTCAGTTTGTCTATACTGTCAGAAATATCCCAAACAGAATATGTAAGACAGCTTCAAAATTCGAGAAAGAAATTTTAAAAATTGGCCGTCGTATGGTTCACGTTCTCTCGAATATGCAGAATGTGACTATTTCACGTTGTTGTTTTGTGACCTTTTGTAAACAACAGCAAAAAAAAAATATTATAACGCATGTTCACACAGTCATTGTACTCGTTGCTGTTGTCGTTGAAGGTTGCTTAATTAAACTCCCTAAAACCGAACAAACGGCAAAATAATGAACAAAACGAGCACAAATCAAAGCTCGGCCGAATAAAAGGGCGCCTGAGAGTGCAGAAAACATCTCTGGTATAAAACGAAACCAAAACATACAAAATGACGTTCTCGCCATTTCGTGTCAGGTAGTTTCGAGAAAGTCGCTTGGCTGTCCACGCATATCGCGAGTAACATCCTCGGAAGAACTGCGCACCATGTCTAAAAATAATTTAAGAGGGATTACCTTGGGTAGAAGGCTTATATGGGGGATTCACTCTCTTACCTTGATAATCTCTTGAATACAATACGATACAATACAATACAATACAATACAATACAATACAATACAAGTTTATTCTGTCATACGCTTAGCTATTCAGGTATGACATTCCATAATGAACTGACACACCAGCTAATTCACAGGTATTCCACATAAATCAAAATTGAATTTAAAAGTAAACAGAGTGGAACCTGTATGCAACGGCCACCCTCGGGACTTGAGGAACCGACCGCTTTATACAGGTGGCCGCTACAGGATCACCGAAAATACTCACTGGGCGTGGTTTAATGTCAATTCTTATGGCGTATCATACAAAAACATGCACGTCATGCTAGGAAACAATAAGACAATCAACACTCTTTCAAGCGATCAATACTTTCAACAAGGTTCAGTGCTAACTTGTAACTTAACGGTATAATCAGTAACATTGTGTAAAAGTACTGTGCAATAAATTGTCCTCTGCTCTTCTATGGTACACAGTACTGTATTTCTATGACTTACAGCTCACAACAAAACATCTCATTCCAACATTTCATAGTTGTTACGTTCAATTTCATAGTTGTTACGTTCAGGGTGGCCGCTTAATACAGGTGAAAATAACAAAGAAATACAAACATAGGACTGCTACAGGGTGGCAGCGGCCGCTTAATAGAGTTGGCCGCCAATACAGGTAACAAGTACAGCTTTTGTGTGAGCGAAAAATCGGGAAATTGAAAACTGGCCGCTTGAAAGAGGGTGGCCTCTTAACACAGGGCCGCTATATACAGTTTGACTGTATTACAAACTATGAATAAAAATTTTAAGATTTTAAAAAGTTTAAGTCAGATCATAAAATACAATCTAAAATAATTACACGTTATGTTAAGAAGTAAGAACGATAATCATATTTGCGATACGTACTTCTTATTTACTTTCTTAGTTTCATTATCACAGTCAGAAGCCAGGCCCGGGTTGTTCGAAAGGTGGATAACGCTATCCACCGGATGCATCACTATCCAGTGGATAGCGTGCTTTGTTTTGTTAACACTTACCCACTGGATAGCGATTTATCCCGTGGATAGCGTTATTCAGTCTTTAAACAACTGGGGCAAGAACAATAGAAGGCGCGCATACGTAGTGAGTTCCTTCTAGGGGGACAAAGTTTTCGTGCAGGGTGTTCAGTGTGTTCAAAACTTCTACTGATACGTTTTTTGCATATTGTAGAGACAAAAGGCAAATGAAAGTATTACTGACTTGAACAAGAAAGTCGGGATCAAATAGGACAATTTAATCATAACTGACAAATAAACTGGTCAAACGGCTATTTTATTGGCTCAACTTTTCTTTAAGGCCCGAGTTTATCATCTGAGCCAGCATATTTTACGGGCATTATTTCTGTCACTGTGGTGACGAGAATAAAAAAAACATCGATAACACGACGGAGCTAAGAAAGAAACGTCATAACACTGATAAGGGCTATTTTCGGTGGATTTTAGTTAATAAGGGCGTAATTTACTTCTTTTTCATTTGCAGGTGTTCGCAGGAAACACAGATCAAAATAGTATTGTGAAGCATGCGCTTAGTCCTGACGTCAAAGCAAGATTTGTTAGATTTTATCCCGTCACGCATTATGATCATCCTTGTTTGAGAGTTGAAATATTTGTACTAAAGTAGTCAGATCGACTTTGCTTGCCATGAAAACAACGAACCTGGCATAACCTTCCCCCTTGAGATGAACCATTGACTTCATCTCAAGGGTTTAGAAAATGCTCCAGTGTTTTTAAGTGGGTAAGTGAAAGGAGTATACAAAAAGGGTTTTATAGAGTACCCCCCTTCGGGGGAGAGAGGGTAATATGAAGTTGATTGATTGTTCTCCAGTTGAAGACGGCCTCGATGGAAGTATTACCTCTCAGTTTGAGAACAAATATTTTTACTGGCCAAACAGATCTCAACATCTGACGGAAATAGATTGGTCCGCGGTCCGTGAGACAGAAACTCGCGATCGCGCTCTCGTTTGACCTCTGACTGTCATGCAATCTCATCAATACTATCACCCGCGTAATGGATTTATATCTGTTTTTTTTGTTGTTGTTGTTTTTTTTTTTATGAAAGCCGGTGATCGTGTTTGTTCGTTTTACCCCAACTTGCGCACTAACAGCTTGGTGAACTCTTCTTGACTAGTTTGCGTTCGGTCCCACCACAAAAGTGAGAAGTAACATCGTTGAATACAACTATTAATGATAAACAGTTTTTCATTTTGAGATGCTTTTGGATCACTTCACTTTTCACAGTCAATTTACTTAGAGAGAACAATCATCAAGTTTGGAAAATCATAATCGTTCCTGTCAATGTTTGACGAAGTATAGTTCGAATATCTGAACAATATTGCCTCTATTTGGCGCGAAAATATGCTAGGATATTTGTCCGCGGACATTATCTATTCCAAGAAGCGAGCGGTTTTCCAAGAGCGTAGCTCGAGGAAAACTGTGAGCTTTGGGGAACAGATCATGTCCAAGGACAAATAGTAGAGCCTATTGTGTTTACTAATTTTCAAATATTTTTCGTAACACGCGCGGTTTTGAAAATTGGGGAATATCACTCGGATACAGTTTTAGCTGTCACGTGACACGTTTAAACCAATCGCGCTCGAGCGAAAATATTTCATGGATTATAAAAAATGAATGTACAACTTGTAGTGATTTGGTCGGTGTTCACTATCTTGCTCACTGGGTACTCAATGCAATATAAAAATTACACCTGTAGTAAACGTAGATATAGCTTTAATAAAATTGTTATTTTTTGTTGTTGTTGTTGTTAGTTATAGTGCTGCAGTGGGACATATCTTTGTTACTCTATAAAGTTTTGTATTAATTTCAGGCATCTTTTTTCACAACTGATGGCAAAAAGTGAAATAATTTTGTGTAAAGCTTTCAACAACCACGTTCAATCTCCCCACCTGAGTCACTGAGCTCTTGGCTTTTGATTGGCCAAATGAAACAGGAAAACACCGACAATTTGCCAATATCATTAAACAAAAATCCATCAATGAATCCAAAATTCCGTTCCGTGCCAACATAGCATGCGCAGTAGTGTTATTAAATATAGCCCTTTCGTCGCTATGTTTAATCCTATCGTTTTCAAGCTTAATTAATTTAGCCTTCATACAGACGTAAATACAAGGCTAAAAAAATCGTTTTCAATTGAGAGTCAATAGCTCGTGACTAAAGGGCCTCAGCCCTTCTTCACTATGTTGAAGAGGACGGTTCATGGCGCCAACAGCTGATATCGGGCTGATATCTCCAAGTGTGGCCCCCGTGTTTGTTTGATAACAATTACTTATTTACTGCTGCCCAGTGTCGGAAGAAGCCTTTGCCGATATAAAATGTATTGTGATATGAGAACTTTTCAAACCATTAGTACTACCCTCTGTAGAAAAACATGTACCTAAAGACATCAATGACGGATTGCTGAAAGTGATACCAGGTATCTTAAAGGAATTTCCTGTTTATTCTGATATTTAAAGGAAGTGTCGAGTTGATAATTATAAGCGGTTCAAACCATACAAATGTGTTTGAGGGTCATTTTTGAGTACGTTCAATCTTTCCGTGTCCAAAAATGTCTTCGAAAATCATAGCCAGCTTATCAGTGAGCCCTGCTACAGTGTGGTCTGTGTTCTGTTTGCCTCTTTACTAAGCTGGATTCAGTATAATCGAGCTGAATTTTAATGATCACGATCAAAGGTTAATGGCTCTCGGGGAAGTCATTTCTCCGATGAAACACGGAATGGCGGACATATGAAATAAAGAGACCAATAAAGGAAGGATGTGTCGGGAATTATTTTCATTAAAAACCTCTGCCTCTTGTTCAATTTACTTATCGATAGTACCTGCATATTGTATTAAATAAGCTTCCGTAAGCAGTAAAAATAGTGTTCTTTACTTATGTTACAAAGACTTGAATTCTTCAGTTAACAGTAAAATAATTGTGACTAAGTATCTCTTGATTCCTGTTATATAAACGTTCATGCAGCGACTGAAAAAGAAAACAAACAAACAAAGACAGACAAACTCTACTAGTTGCAACTGATCTTAGTGTCTTGAAGACAGGCTCGTTTAATTAATTTCAATTAAAACGACTTTAGTTAGTTGATTTGCTGTATAAAAGATGGGAGATGGTACATTTTAGCTGATTAATTTCAAGCAATGTCATTCCGTGCGACCGTCACGTTTTCCCGCATGCAGAGATCCTTGAGGTCCCTCAGTGCAAAAGGCTTCAAGTTGGTCTTTCCTGTCACAAAACCTTTTTTCATTCAACAGACTGACTGAAGCCCCTGACTGATAATTCATTCATGGCTAGACTGCGAGCAGTCTCACGTTTGTTGGAAAATCCGCGAGAAAGAACACAAACGAAAGGAAGCGTGCAGCAAAGCCGCGAGCCCGTTTCAACGCTCGCCACTGTTCCTGGTTTCCGTCTCTTTCCTCGCCAATCTTAGAGCTAAAGCTAAACCGCTCATAGGCTAAAATCGGCGACAAAATTGTTGACACATTCACCATTTTAACCCTATTTCGTCACCGGGGTCCCTTTTTGCCCTCCTAGCTTCTCCCTCAACCCCCCTCCCCCCTCCCCCTCTCCGTGAACAATGTGTGTGGCAGTTGCTGTGATCTTGAGCTACAAACAAACAACATTAAATGGGGGAGCGGGGTCTTTTCCAAAGTTTATAGCGCGATATAACAAGTGGTGTTATTTGGTGCACTACAAATACTATTGAAAGACAATGTGTCAACTAATCATGTCGCCGATTGTAGTCATGGCCAAATTAACTTCCATATGAGTACAGTAACGGCCTTAAGACTGAAACAAGACTTTTGAACTTACAGTGCGACTTTACGCGAGTTACTTGGGTTATCTCTCTCAACTGTTGGTGATTTGAATATACATGTTGACACCTCTGACTCCCAAATCCCAATACTCAAAGGAATTATTATTATTATTATTATTATTATTATTATTATTATTATTANTTCGCCCGTTTTAGCTAGGACATACTCTGTCACATGACGCGTTTAGACCAATCGCGTGCGAACGAAAATATTTGATGAATTATAAAATAGCCTTTATTATATTTGGCGCGGAAATACTCTCAGATATTTGTCCGCGAACATTATCTGTTTCAAGAGGCGAACAGTTTTCTACGCTCACGGAAAACTGTGAGCTTTGAGGAACAGATAATGTCCAAGGACAAATGTGCGAGCATCTTTTCGCACCAAATGGAGGCTATTATGTTTATTATCCTTCAAAAATTTTTCGCAACACGCGCGGTTTTGAAAATTGGAAATTGTTACTTTCTGCCTATCAAGATTTTCTCAAGTATGCTTCCAGCTACCGAAAAAAAATGTAATGTCAACCGATGAAATAACGTGCGTGATTAGTCATAAATGGGGTAAGATTGGCCTCTTATATCTCTTAAGCGTGCATGTTGAACTATTCGGCAACTTTGGAGCAACTTTTGGCGTTTGGAGCAACTTTTTGCGGTTCTAGCAACCTCGAGCAAGTTTTGACTTTCTGAGCAACTTTTTAGCAAAATATAGTTTTAGAGCACATATCAAGCACAAAAAAGTCAGCGATTTCTTAGAAAACTTCAATTTATGCGGAATTTTTTTTAACATTCTTCAATCTTTTGAAGTTTGAACACATAACCTGTCACTTGACAACGTTTCGCAGGCCTAATATTTTTTTTCCGTTAGACTTAAGAGCATCCTTAAATTTCGTCTATATTTGAAAGCAACTCTTTCAAGCTAAGTTTCAAGCTATCTTTCTTGACTGATGTTAGCAATTAGCAAAATAAAGCTTTTAATTAACGTTTATGTAAAAATATAAAGAAATATAATTTAGGTAGCAACTTTTTGGCATTCCAGTGAGCAGCTTTCCAGCATTTTACGAGCACAATCGGGACAGGCCAAACCGTATTAGCGGGGTGACCGTATTAACAAGGTGATCGTAAGGCGGAGTTCCCGATTGTAAGTTTGTAAGTTTGTAATACCGAGGAACAAAGTCACCTTGTCACTTTAACTCACTCGTATAGCTAATTACTATATTAGCAAACTTTCCCACGGTCAATTTGTAAAGCCAGGAAATTTGCTTGGGTATTGGTATTAGCTCTACTTGTTGAGAATACAACTTGCGTGATTATCTTAGTAGGTTTAGGTGTTCGATTATATAGTAAGTTTCTTAGATTAAATACGTGTGCGTATGATCAAAGAACTGCGTAAATCCTAGTTTCCGATACCATCGGACAATGGTACGTTCTGCAGNTTTAGAGCACATATCAAGCACAAAAAAGTCATCGATTTCATAGAAAGCTTCAATTTATGCGGAATTTTTTTTAACAGTCTTCAATCTTTTGAAGTTTGAACACATAACCTGCCAATTGACAACGTCTCGCAGGCCTAATGTTTTTTTTCCGTTAGACTTAAGAGTATCCTTAAATTTCGTCCATATTTGAAAGCACTCTTTAAAGCTAAGTTTCAGGCTATCTTTCTTGACTGATGTTAGCAATTAGCAAAACAAAGCTTTTAATTCACGTTTATATAAAGATATAAAGAAATTTAGGTAGCAACTTTTTGGATTTTCGGCACTTTTCAAGCAACTTTTTGGCATTCCAGTGAGCAGCTTTCCAGCATTTTACGAGCACAATCGGGACAGGCCAAACCGTATTAACGGGGTGACCGTGTTGACAAGGTGACCGTTAGGCGGAGTTCCCGATTGTAAGTTTGTAAGTTTGTAATACCGAGGAACAAAGTCACCTTGTCACTTTAGCTCACTCGCATAACCAATTACTATATTAGCAAACTTTCCCACGGTCAATTTGTAAAGCCAGGAAATTTGCTTGGGTATTGGTACATTGCGTTGGTCTCGTCTCGGTCACCGCACCGACCTTTATTATTTTCTGTGTTTAAACCAAAATTCAAACCCTGTCTAGTCTAATTAACTTTTAGTTCTCTGAATGGTTGTAAACAACTTTTGTTCATTATTGCACTTACCTTAGCAAGCTGTGTAAAAGTGTCTTCTAAACGGTTTGCGGTTCTTCTATGCTAAAGTGACAAGGACTTTTATCTCTTCTTGTTGAGAATACAACTTGCATGATTAGTTTAGTAGGTTTAGGTGTTCGATTATATGGTAAGTTTCTTAGATCAAATACGTGTGCGTATGATCAAAGAACTGCGTAAATCCTAGTTTCCGATACCATCGGACAATGGCACGTTCTGCAGTGTAATTAGTGGTTAGCTTACCCACGCACAACTATATACTCTGCCATATAAATATAGCTTTTGTTTTACGCTTGCTGCAGATAAAATTAGGATCACGTTCAGCTTAGGTTTAAAGGCATTTTGTCAAGCCACAGCTGTGATTGGTACCAAATCTACAATCTAGAAGTTAGTTTTGAGTTAACGATCCATAGACCCTAGGTTTTTACGTTGAGCTCGAAGCACATATTCGGCTATCAAAGAAACCACTGTTTCCAGTGTTCTCATTCATTCTTAAGAATTCACGAACCGACCAATCACAGCTCAGTGCGTGGATGTACTGCGAGCGAACTTAAACGACAATTTTCGTTCGACAATTTTGGTTGGTCACGAGACGTTTAGCCCGATCATACAGACATTTCACAATACCGCGCTTTTTACTGACTGAGGGTGGCATCAGTATGTGTTGGTTTTTAGACTAAGAAGTTGTTGATCGATTGTACGTTTTAGTTGTAACTCCTACAAAATAAAGTTTAAAAAATTAAATTTTCATCTGTGGTTGA